ACCCTTTCCGTCCCGATTTTTGGGGACTCGGAGCATCGTTTCGTGCATCGTCGGAAGCTGCTCCGAGGCTTTTTTTTTTTTTTGCAACGTTTGTAACTTTTATAACGGTACCTTTTACACGCACCCCTCACCCCCCGTTACCGGAAAGTGTTGTACAGCCCGTTTTTGCCTAAAATAAAGCACTTTGCGGGGAGAAATGCCGCCGAGGTGGCTGTGACCTTCCGGGGAGCACGGCTGGATCCTTCTGGGTAATTTTGCGGGCCATGGGGGGCCAAAAAGGACCCCAAAATGGGATTTTGGGAGGGGATGCAGCTGAGCTGCTGCTTTGCTGCAAAGGGGAGAAGTTGCTGGAGGTTTCGGAGAGGGTTTTTGCAGCGGGGGAGGCGCGTGACGCCGGCGCTGTTTGTCTCCCGCCCGGCTTTGTCCGCTGGGAAAACCCTAATCCCCGGTCGGAGCCGGCCAAAAGCGGCGGCGGAGAAGCGGCGGGAGCCCCATTGCCGAGCACACGGGTAAGGGCGGCCCGGAGCAGCGGGAAAACCCGGGAATTGCAGGACTAGCGGGGAACGCCGTGCATGAAACATCGTGCGTAGAGCGGGAAGCACTGGGAAGAGTGCTGGGAAAATGCCTAGTGCGGATGGGGGCGAAATGGGGAATGTTGAAGGAGTTTTTGCTCCAATGGGAGGGTTTTGGTGCATTTGGGAGCAGCGTCCAGCTCCGGCACTGGTGGTTTCCCACTGGGGTGTGATTCCATGAGTTTTGGGGGGCAGAAAGGCCTAAGAGAAAGGAAGGGAAAAGCGGATGGAGCAGCAATTCCCATGGGGCTTGGTGAGCAGAGGTGGTTGTAAGTACTGGGAATGGGAGTTGTTTTTTTTTTTTTCCTTGGATATTCTGGAAAAGAAAAAAGGGATTTTGGCGGTACAAAGCTATTTAGAACCACGTCCTCCAAAGCCTCCAAAAGAGGCAACGGGCAGAAAGTCGGCACTTTGTGCAGGGGGGCGCCGGGAAGCATCCGGCGGTCGGAACGCGGGAAACGCTGACGCGGCCGATCCCGGCTCCAGGGGGGCCTTTTCCAAAGGGGCTTTGGGAGCGGGGCCGGGCGGCGATGGCTCAGCAGCCCGGGCACAAAGAGGCTGTTTGCTCAGCACCCGTCCCCATCCTCGCGCGCGAGATGTCTTATCTAACCACATACAACCATGCGGAGCTCAATATATTCATATATTAATTAATAATCCATTAATATATCCTTTTCTTTACGTACAGGGGGGTCTATGGGTTGCCCGGAGCTGTAGGAGGAGCCGGGATGAGACGCTGGCGCCGGGCGCTGCTGCTGCTGCTGCTCCTTGGCCTCCTGTTGGCCGGAGCCCACGGGCGCCGCGGC